GTTGAGAAAATACGAGAACGCTTTTAGGTATAGCCTTGAATGTTAAAAAAATGATCAGTGGCCCATAAATGCAGGCCGCAGGGTAACACCCATGTCATGCGATTACAGATGTCTGTTCCATCAGTTCCATCTGCATGAATGATTCATCAGCGTCGATGTGATGAACTTACTGTGAATGAATTACTGTGAGATTGACCCTACAAAGATAATCTGTTATTTGCTAGGAAATGCTCAGCTAATGTAAGAGGAGACAGTGTACCATTTGAAGCAAGATATGGGACGGAGAGAACCCCCCCCGCCTTTGTGTTGGTCATGGTTTGATCGGAATCTCAGGAATTCTTTACAGACTTCTCGGGGGGGGAGGGTGTTAGGTAACAATAGTCTAGAGTGTGTATAGGGATTGGATAGGTAAGGGGGGTACCCCTCCGTCCCATATCTTGCCTGGTATACAGTGTACACATGAATGCATGTGGAACAAGTGATACCGCTTGGCCAAAGAAACAGACACTGAGATCATGACATCAAGAGTGTACAAGAAATTTACAGAACGTCAAATCCAAAAGGCTGGCTTTAATATAACAATGGAAATTCCTTTTTTACGGAGCTCTGAAAGTGTCATCCAACTTGTTGAGATCCTGACGTAATTAATCGTGGTATGGCGACATATTACAGACAGGATGTCGACATCGCAACTTGATTTGCTATGGCATGACGGCATGATGACAGTATCCTGCCCATTAAGCATCTGATTAGAGCAGGAGAATTTACCCCGTGCACATGACCGAGTTTTCCTGAAGCCTATGAAGTGCGGAGACAACGGGAGTACATCCGAATTGCTTTAGACGAAATCACACAATCGCCGTAATTCGTTTGTTTTCCCCACTCTCCTTTTCCCTCAGATTTTGTTTTCATTTTGTTTGCAATGTGGAAACTTGCGCAAAATCAAGCAACTGAGAGACCTAGGACCAATTTTGCCCACCAAGCTGCAAAATTCAGGACCATTCCTGTTTGGATTGCTCTGGTCTGCTTGGCTTGAAGAATTGCTTTAGAAACGGTACTAATACTTTCTTGGGGCGGAAATAGGACAGTCGTTTCTGGATATAAAAATTCATTTTTTCCCTGGGCTCAAGACCCGCAAATGCCACTGTTTAGAATGGTTTTAGTGTGAAGAGCAATCATTCTAGGTGACATTCATTAAATTGAATGGTCGCGTCCAAGTTGTCCCTTAATGGGAGACATGGCATTCTTTGGACATAATTTTTTTTCTTGAAATTTTGCTTTGCCTTACCAGAGCAGTCGAATTTATTTCTGATGTGCTATGCGTTATCTTCACACACAAAACTGCTGCCATCACTGCGTGTTTCAACGTGAACTTCTCTCCGTTTTGAGATCACATTAATTTATGATCATCAACCGACATACAAAGTACCGGGGTGTCCTTGGACTTCCGATCGGCAGAACGTGGCCAATACAGCGACATTCTAAATAAGGTCAACCGCATAAATTTACATGTCATTTACACGGAGTGCGGCCTTGGTATTGGGTATCACTAAGATAGGGCACACCAGTCTTGGCTCGTGTGGGTGCATACCATAGGACCATGGGCTCATTCCCAAATCAAAACTATTTTTCACAGAAACATCCCCCAGTAACGAATTAAAATAGATGCATGAAAATACATGCATTTTTATATTCAAGCCCCTGGCGTATATGTACTATTACCTTCAGAAGTAATTTGACTTTTCAAAACTATTTCATATTTTTTTTGTGTTTCGGTAACAAGGCTAATTATGTAGAACATAGGCCTATTGCTCGTTTTTAATTGCAAATAAATGTTTTGACAGAGTTCCCAAACTCCACTGAATTTTTTCCACTGACTTTTCCACTGCAACTTTGATCTAAAAATTATAATTCATTGATAACGATACTAAAAAAGGCTAACTATTTAATTTTCAGTAATGACTTCTATTCTTGCTTTTAGCAACAGCGTAACTATAACTACTCAATTGATCTCGGAATCCGAAACAGAACATGTTAATAAGTTATCAAGGTTGAGTAAACAAGGTTCTTTGTTGTTTTTGTTCCTCTTTAACTGATTCCGAAATTGTAAACCTTACAAACGTATGTTTGAAATTAGTCCCTGCATCGATTTAACATAAAGGACTCTTTTAATTTCTATTTATGTACCAGTTCATTTGTTGGCAGTAAAAGATGCAAAAATCTACAGTTGAAGTTGCCCAGTTTAGTTTTTTTTCATGTCAGCTATTTTCTTTTTCCACGCGGAGGTCCAATTCATTTCTTCACCTGAACATTTTCTCATCAGGATTAAATTTGAGATTTTTGTTTACTTCTTTCGTCAATGAATACATTGTAGATTTTTCCCTTATAGGTATATTGTTGTAAGTTATGTAAGGTCAACCTGGGTTGACCATAACTTCAAATTGAACATCATGCTACGTTAAAGCCCATTTGGACATAAAAACTTAACACAAACCAGTGCACCAGTGCACAAACCACCGGCAACCAGTGCTGTTTGGTCACTAACTTTGTTTTAAAATATTCCAAAGCAAAATCTCCATCTTCATGTTACGGATCTTTCATGTAAACAATATTTTATTTTATCCAGTTAAGAAAATAGAGAACCTTTCCATTGCACACAACGTGCTTTCCCCAAAATGGTCGAGAATTTATTTCAGTGGTCTTAGAGTATATTGAAGGTGAATGTACATGTAGTGCTTACCAGCACAAAATCAACTCTTTATAATATTGTTGTAGCGACTATACTGCATGTAACCCTTATTTTGATTTTCCAAAGTTCATGTCCAGAGGTGTTACGTTGGGAATCAAGATTCCAAAAAATGTTCGCAAAGGATTTTGAATTCTATTTTCTATTTGTATATAGCAGTATATGTTGCAGGTTTCCATAGAGATGAGTTTAAGCCACCCCAATCGAGCATTCGTATAATAATTTTCGAGCAGTTTTGTATTTACATCCATTCCAAATAAATTGATAACTAGTTCGTAAATTTTTGAAATGTATTTTTGAGGCATTGAAATAGCAGAAGCCAAAAACTAAAAATGGGCACAGAACAACGCTGGTGATAGTAGTTACTTCACCAGGAAGAGTTACAAGGCCCGTCTCTTCCAAAGAGTTGTCAAGACTGAATACGTATTTATTGTTTCTTCTCAAATTAATCCATAACATAGTGTTCGTTTTTTTTTTCAAAGTAAACACCAAGACGTTTAATTGGTACTTGTTGCTAATAAGTTATAGTTTCGAGCAAGTGCCGATCAGGGAGCACATTACGTATAATGAGGCCTCTTGTTTTTGGAAGATTAGGCCTAAGGTTAGGTTTTGTTATATGTCCAAAGTTTGATCGAGTTTTCATAGTTTGGCTCCTTGACTTAGAATCTTACACAAAGACACAAGTGTCGTCAGCACACACCCAAATAAGCAATTTATATTTTTCTCACTCCTTTTCCAATTAGCTTGTACCTCGGCAACGAGTCAAGGTGAGAGGGCTGAGAGAGGACATACTTGTCTGACGCTTTTTGTTAAAGTAAAAAAAAGACATGTCCGTGCACACCAGTATTGTTTACGTTTGAATACACTGTGGTTTATCCATTGAATAAAACCATCTCCAAAGTTGACCTATAGAGGGCCCCAACAACAAATACCACTCAACTGTGTCAAAAGTTATTTCCGAATCCAAAAAGAGGATAGCAGATTCAATAAATTCGCATTGATCAATATTGACGTGTCGCATTTGTCGTCACCACCGGTAAGCATAGATAAAATTTGACTGGGAACTACTAACCCTTTGAAAAGAAATGAAATTTTAAAAAATTGATGCTTTCCCAAGGGGAAATCCTCCACACTGATGGAGCTAGATACTAAACAAAAAATCAATTGTGTGAAGGGAGTTTTTGGATTAGAGTTTGGGGAAGCATCCCCTTTCAATATATGGTTAGTGAATCCTGACAAGTGCCTGAAAAACCGTAGACGGAAATCCTTTCTTTTCTTTACTCTGTCCCCGGCTTTCATTTTGCAGTATATGTGATTCAGAATCCCTCATGCCTCTGCGTTCTTCTTTTGTCTGGAGAGCGACTCTTTGAGGGTAAACAGAGGGAATACTGGGCATTGTAAACTGACGTGACCCTTGGGGGCAAGCACACAGGGAAATGACGGCATTGACTTTGTTCTCGTCCTAAGACACGGCTGCTGTGTTGAGATCACATGTCTCCATCTTTCCGTCTAATTCGTCCAATTAATTTGATGTAGTTTACCCAGTGGATGACGGCAGAATAATATACAGCGAGATATTATGAGTTCTAGAAGGTCGGCCTAGAGAACGCTATTCAGCCCGTGCAGTCCTTTAATTCGATGTCACCCTCAAGATCACGGGGAATAGGCGTTTGCGGCGGCCGAGGGACACGCCTCTTCTCTAATCAGCAGTTTCAGAAATCTCAGGTGGGGGTTAACGTATCGGAATGCCTATTAAAGCCTTTGTTAGATTTCCCATAAGCGCATCTCCCGGCAAGTCTATTTTCTTTGCAGTTAATTTACCCCATTGTTGCGTGATTCTGTTAGCAGCGGGGCTTCTTAATATTCCTCCGATTCAAGGATGACGGCAGTGTGGACCAAGATGATTGGCAGAGAAGTTTGAAGTGACGTTGAAAACTAAAACCAAGGCTCAAGTTACTTGTTTCTGATAGAAACTTGCTGAATCACTGTTTTACCTGATATCGCTTATAACGATTGGACAAACGAATGTAATGCAGGATCAAAAGAAATGCAATACTCAGAGACTCGTCCTTAGCCACTCTTGATCAGCGTGACGTGCGACACGGTGTACTGCATGCACATTAACGCGTCTGCGCATAATCACAGCCGACTGGTAGATTTTGCTCATCCCACGTACTTTGACGCACAGAGTGGAGTCGAGTCGTTCACATTCCGTGGAAAGACGGGATTTCAACCGGCGGGTAAAGCAGAAAAAATGTGGACTGTCGAGCTCTGCGTTGTTGTCTGGTTATATCTAACGGGACCGGGAAAGTGTGCGGTTCCGTCCGGAGTACTGGTGAACTACACCAGACCCGGAGACTTTATCATCGGAGGGATATTCCCTCTGCATCAGGACAACACTTGCGAGGCGGGCATGAGAAGCCACATATTAGAGAGAGTCCAGACCATGGTCTTCGCCATGGAGGAGATCAACGCCAATTATAACATCCTCCCCAACGTAACCCTGGGCTTTGACATCCGTGAGTCCTGCTATATGGAGGACGCCGCTCTCTGGTCAGCGCTGTCGATCCTCAGTGGTCACGTCCCGGACGGCATGCACGCTGTCACTACAGCTAACGCCCCACGTAGCCGTTTGGTCGGCATCGTTGGCACGAGCCGCAGTTCCACTAGCATCGTAGCGGCAAAGGCCACCAATCTCTACCAGGTACCCATGATCTCCGGCTACGCCACCAGTGACGAGCTGAGCGACAAGGGAAGGTTCCCTTACTTCTTGCGCACTGCCCCGCCTGACAAACTCCAGGCGCTGGCCATCATCGACGCCCTGCTCCGGTTCGAATGGCGGTACATCGGCGTAATGTACTCCATTGACACCTACGGGATCCGAGGCACGCAGGAACTCTTGAACCTGGCCGACGAGAGCGGCATCTGCGTGGCTTTCTCGATAGCTGTTCGAAAAACGGCCACAGAGTCTGAAATCCAGGAAGCAGTGTCAAAGATCCTCGAGTTCGACAAGGCAAAAGTGTACGTGATGTTCGGCGGCTACGAAGGCATGTACAGGATCCTACAGGAGTACCACAGGATAAAACCGGCCGAGAAACTCACGCTAGTCGGCAGTGATGCTTTCGCCTATTTCGAGGAGCACGGACTACAGAATATGAGTCTGGGTAACCTATTCTTCACGTTGAATTTCCATCAGGTCCCAGGGTTTGACAGGTACTTCAATGAGTTGGTGGCCACCAGTATGGAGAACCCGTGGTTTGTTGAGTATAAGGATCTGTGGAAATCCGAGCTGGGCTGTACTGATTTCAATAACTGCTACATTCGCACCAGTAACCGCTCCAGCCCGGCTTACCACGCCGTGTACGCCTTCGCGTACGCCCTGGATAACATGATGCACGCCTACTGCGGCGTGTCCTTCGCAAATGCCGACTGCGAGCTCTTTCAAAACGGGATCAGCGGGCCGGAGTTCTTGCCCTTTCTTCTGAATGTTACTTTCGAAGGGATAGACGGCCTGTTCAGGTTTGACGAAAACGGAGACCCGGAGGGCACCTACAATATCAACAGCTTTCGCAACGGGGAGTACTACCGAGTCGGCAGCTGGGACTCGCGTGGGACCGACCGCCAGTTCTCCATAAACAAGTGGGATATCCACTGGCCGGATGGTGTGGGGAAACCCCCGTCCTCCTTGTGTGTCGAGCACTGCCGTCCTGGCTACATCGTGGTCCCGCTGGACAAGAAATGCTGCAAAGGGTGTCACAAGTGCGCCAGTAACGCCATCGTAAGAGGCGGGGCGTGTCGCCCCTGCGAGGAGAGGTTCTGGCCGGACGAGGTCACTTTCACCGAGTGTCGAGAGATCGAGGCCTCGACGTTCGCAATAGACGAAGTCTCAATTCTAGTCATCCTCGCCCTGAGCCTCATCGGCATCTGTTTCTCGTCCCTCAGTTTCGCTGGCATGACCTACTACCGCAACCACCCCTTGATCAAAGCCACCAGCCGGGAGCTGAGTTTCCTCTCCATCCTGGGCACAGTGCTGGCCTTCTTCATCCTCTTTGCGTTCCTGCCGCGCCCGACAGCCGTCTCCTGCGCTATCTCCGAGGCAATTCTCTCGCTCTGCGTCACCCTGACCTACGCCCCGACGCTCCTCAAGGTTAACCGCATCTTCAGGATCTTCGATTCCAGCAAGAGATCCACCAAGCCCCCGAGGTTTGTGAGGCCAAAGGATCAGCTGATTCTCTCGGCAGGGCTCATCTCCGTGCAGGTAAACAGTATATCAACTCCCTGATCTAGTACCCTGAAAACCACCCCGTACTCGAGCTGAAAAATACAAATGGAATGAAATAAACAGGTGGCAGAATCCTTGAACATGATTTCTACTGAAGTACATTTCCCAACGCTGGAAGAGTGTTCTAATCTATTCATTTTGGTATCAGCCAGGTATCAGCATTCCCACACTGTTTCCCTCTGAAAATTGCCGAAATTACCGGTATGTAATATCATGTGCCCGCTACTATGCTATAGGCACAAAGCCGATAAAGCGTTGAAGCGAGCGTTTTAAACTTCAACGCGCTCAATATTTTGTAGCAGTAAATTATAATCTTTCATTAAAACTTATCCTTTCCAACAGGAACTAAACCGAGAAGAAATCCAGAGGGAAAGTGTTATCATCTACAGGATTCGAAACACTGACAACCTCCATAATCATCACATGCATGCATGTTCGTTATCCATAAATTCACGCAAGCCAGTTCAACTGGGCTTCTTGTTTTCCCTTCATAGTTTTAACCCACGACCCCACACAATAGAGCCTGAAAGTTGACCCATGATGGAGCGCTTCCTGAACCTTAGGCTTGGATAGTAAAAATAACGCAGGAATTTTTGAATTCATATTTTGTTCGTTCGGTTACTTCTTTAAAAACTCTACTCGTAAGAAGGCCTTTTGTAGAATATTTTCTAGCAAACTGAAAAATGACCCATATACTGTCAAAAATTGACCTATCACTTCCGAAAATCCAAAAAACAGTGGAATTCGGTGCTCTCGCACGCAAATGAACAGTTACGGAATAATACTTCATGGTAGTCTTTAAGTAAAAGCCAAAATAAAAACAGACCAATATCTCTAAGGATTTTAAAAATTTACAAGGAAATAAACTTAAAGCAATAACGTGCTTTTACGAAAGAGTCTTATGTATAAGCTAAGAAATGCGTGATGTCAACTCAACGGAACTGAAATCCATCGACTGCAGGTATAGGTAAATCTGTGCAGCGCTGTACAAACTCATTTCCACATAAGCAATGGGAATGAAAACAAAGGGGCATGAACAAGGAGACCTGGGAATGATATTGCCGGAAGTGAAAGGTCGTCGATGAAATTACTAGTTTTTTTTTTTTTTTACTTATCTCCAGGTGACTTTTCCTAAATTTAGACTTAAAGGATAAATATGATATGATATACCTCCTGCATGCATCTTCAGACTACGGAATTTTACATTAAAGACCCGTCTATGGGGGGGGTAAGTCGGATGGAATGGTTGGATAACAGACACCTTAGTTTTGGTTTTGTCGATGGGGTTGGAGGGTTTGAGATTTGGTGTGCTTATACACAAAACTTTGACTGTTTTCACACACAATTCAAATCTCTGTTGCTCTCAAAACCCCGCATTGTCTTCATAGAGAATGCTTTGGATTCCCAAGCTTCAGGGCGAGCCATGATGCATCAATCCTGACATTATACTTTTGCAGATCATCATCGTCATCATTTCAGTCGTGGCCAGCCCGTCCAAGCCAGAGTACCTGATCCCGACACCCCTGGAGAAGTATGTTGAGATTTACTGCCAGTTCGGCAGCGGTTTCATCGCCTCGTGTGTCTACAACCTGCTGCTGATCCTGGCCTGCTGTTACTACGCCTTCAAGGCTCGAAAGGTGCCCAGCAACTACAACGAGTCCAAGTTCATTGCGGTCAGTGTCTACTCCACGCTGGTGCTGTGCCTGGCCGCCGTGCCCGTCTACACCACGGCCGTGGCGGTCCTGCAGAAGGTGGCCACTCTCTGCGTGGCGCTGCTGCTTAATGCCTACCTGACACTGGTCTGCGTCTACCTGCCCAAGTTCTACGCCGCCCGCTTCGTGGAGGATGTCCGCGTCATGGACTGGAGCAGCTCCATCCAAGACTTCCGTGTCAAGCCAGCCTCCACCGTGTCGACAAGTGCTGACCAACCAGCCACGGTATCGTAAAGCATCGTTAAGGTTTCTGACGACAGCAGAGTGGGCGGCAGCCCCACAATTTGAAAGGTCATACCTCAATTTGAAATTGTTCAAAATTGATTTACACCACTGGTTCCTAAATTAATATGGAGCTCTGTTTTTCTTTTGATATTAAAGCATGTTTTGTGTATGTAGTTTTATTAAAATCTGTGACAAATTAAAAAAACCACTGGATAAAAAGACGAGCCACCGAGGACTAAGAAAAGGTGAAGCGGATTTTAGCAATTTTGTGTATTTGGGCAAAAGAGCCACTTTCTGATGCAACTAAAATTTCCAACAGGCAAGCCAGCTGGCGAGAAAAACCAAACAAGTACACACGCAAGGAAACAAGCAAATAACAATCAAATGAAGAAAAAACAGAACAGGGTTAATGTGAGAAAAGTTGATATTAATTGGACACAAGTGAACCAAGCTGGTAACCAATCCTGATTGAGAGGTTATGTTTGATAATAAAAAAAACAAAGAAGAAATGAAGCACAAATACACTCGGAACACACGTTTTGGTATGTGAGCATTTGTGTTGTGATGTTTTATTGCATGTTTCATTGCAATGTTAAAGTACTCGTATACTCGAACTCGTACTCGAGTACAACTCAAGTACGCCTGAGTACTCGGCTCGTACGCCTGAGTACTCGGCTCGTACGCCTGAGTACTCGGCTCGTACTCGAACATCAGTACTCGAAAATTTATTGTACTTAGCCCGTAGTGGATTCTTTGTGTACTTGGATTTTGGGCGTACTCGACCCTTGGGTAGTCGGTACCTGACCTTTTACTCGGGAAAAAATCGAATCCTTCACTTTTTATCTATTGAATCATGGCGCCGGGGCACGAGCGAAGATCCTGTGAGATTGTGTTGCTCAAACTTGAACAAAACATATAGCTACACAGCAGTTTCGCTCTGTAGTCTGTAACACGCACATAATGCTTTCCAACTCCGCAGCTTTTACTAGCAAATCGTAGCACGGAGCTCATGCTCTATGAGCGTCGCAACACACGGACTGACACTGACAGAGGGTTAGTTGCATTTTTTCTAAGCTTTTTTCAGAGTTGAAGTTGTCTTAGATTTCCGATATGTAATTTCTGAGGCTGTGTTCACGAATTTATGAGGTTGAATTGCCCGTACTTAATTGAAGCGAGTGTTTTTCCACAAAAACTCCTGCCGCGACACGTGTTTCTCGCACGCCCCCCTGGATTCATCACACACGTTTACCATGCGACATACAGACATTGTTCGCCAGTTTTCTGTCGTGATTACCTGTTTAACATTGGTTACAGTGGTGTGATTGTTCATAATTCTTAAGAATATCGACTGTCGATATGTGTATATTGATTAGACAATTTTATCACCTTTTTGAAATCTTAACATTTTCACGCAAATAAAAGTTGAAAGTGCTAACTATAGGTAAAGGGGATAGTTATATGGTGTTTGAATGTGTTTACTTTTCATTTGGTTAATACCCAGTACTCGGCCTAGAATATACTCGTACGCGGTGCTTTGGACTCGGACTCAGACTCGTCACCGGTGTACTCGTACTCGGCCCGGGACTCTGTGCAAAGTGGTCGGAGTTCTCTGTACTCGGATTTGAGGACTCAGCTCCAACACATGAGTTTTTATTCCTTGATTTACTAATGATAACGCCCAGTAGCGTAAAGTTGTCCCAAAAAGGGGTTGGGGGTTGGGAAAGGAAATCCAATATTACGCCGAACATAATTTTTTTTCCGAGATTTGAATCCATTGAATGAGTTGAATGTAAGAAAGGATTAGGAGGACTTTACACGTACAAAGCGTCCAAAGGTCGTTCCTAATCAACTGCACTTAAAAACTGAAAAGTTCTTTCCTCAAATTCAGTTCTTCCCCCGATTTTGATTTCCAGTATTATTGTTTATCACTTGGCAAAGTCACTGTAAACATCAAATTTACGAGTTGAAGAAGTTATTACGGTTAACCCCCCCCCTTTCAAGTTGTTACATTACATGTATTGTGTTTTAGTACTGCACTATTGCCCCTTATTAATACCATTCATAAATTAATAATGTTAATAAATTATTTCACTCCCACAAATGCATTGTAACAGAATACCCAAACCCTTTTAATTGTTCACATTATTAAAATCACCACGCACTAATAAATTCTCGCCGAATGTAAGGGCACGTCACATGTTACGAATTGTCTGTATGATTCATCGTTCTATTACATGTATTACGATTTAAAGTGGTCATCAGGAAGTTTCCCTACAGAAAAGGACCCAGTGGCGTATCAAGGGGGGGGGCAGGTGCGCAACTTGACCTCTGACGGATTTTAGCCAGAATTCGCATTCGAATTTACCCCCCCCCACCAAAAACTGGACACGCCACTAAAAGCGCCTCAACTGAACTGCACCTGGAACGCATTGTGGATGACCGGGAAGGGCATTTTCAGAGTATTGTGCGGGGATTGTGAATGGAATTTTAGCCCTCTTTCGGTTGTAACAATGCAATGTTGCCCGTTACCGATCTATCAGCCCCTACCCCCCACCCCTCCTACGACAAGACGGAAGATGTACCCTGGTTTTCGTAGGCAATGTCTTCTTTGATGAAGGGATGTCGCGGGAGTGTATACCAGGCAAGATATGGGACGAAGGGGGTACCCCCCTTACATGTCAAATCCCTATACACACTCCAGACTATTGTTACCTAACAGATCCCCCCTAGAAGTCTGTAAAGAATCCCTGAGATTCCGATCAAACAATGACCAACACAAAGGCGGGTGGGGGGGGGTTCTCTCCGTCCCATATCTTGCTTCAAATGTGGGAGTCGTGAGGTTGCTGTAACATTTGGGGGCTGTTTCATGTTATCCGTAATGAATATTCATCATTGCAATGGTAATTGTTTAATTCCTTGAGAGATAAAATGCTGTATGCCTGTGTATCTTAATATTATTCTTAATTCGTGACAGGTGATCCACGATCGACCAATTAGACAGCAGTGTTTATTCACGCGTCAAAGGTAGTGCGGTTCTCTTGTGAAATACCAAATTAGTATCTAATGTAGAGCACGATTCCTTGTCAATAAAACATGTCAAAGTTGATTTTTTTCAGTGTTTTATTAATTTGTCCCACCGCAGGAATTCCTGCCCTAAGCGTCAACAATGATAAGCCTAGTATTACACGCTCTGCAGTTTGCTTCCTTCGTAGCCGGAAGAGCCCCAAGCTGGGCCAGATAGCGAATTGGGCGTAATGTCGGCTCTGCTTCGTCTGTGTTTCGCCTCCGCGTAATAATAAGACTAGGGTCCAACGCGACCCACGTATAAATAAAGATAGTCACTGATCTACGCAACATTTCATAGAATAAAAATTTTATTTCATCAACAATGATGGCTGTTTTTCACAAAATTTAGGAAGTAGGACCTGATAAAAAATGTCATTGCTAGTGGGCATATTATCTCGAAAGCCTTTTAATTTCACAAGAAATGGTTAAAAATAAATCACTGCTAATAATAGCGTTTCTCAAACTTTCTCAGAGTGGCCGGCATAATACCCTTTTTGTCCTCTAACTGATGGGTACGGGCTCCAAATTGTGATGGTTAGAACTGAAAGGAGATATCTTTTTCTTATGAAAGGAAGAAAGCGAAGTGGTCATTATTCATTCCATACGTAGATCCATTCCTTCAGCAGTTCTCTAGGGTCTCTGTGAAGCATCTCTCCGATGCAAAAGTACAGCTTACGCCAGCCCTCGAAGATGGTCGTCTACACTCCAATATTAAAACGACCTGTACTGTGCAATGTATATGCCAGGACAGTAGCAAGATGACAATTTTGGGGCTCTATGCTGGCCGGTGCCGTGTTTGGACTGCGCATTCCATCAGCGTCATCCGAAGACCACTGATATTTATTTGAGGTTGATGCGGCCACGTTTGGTTGCCTGATAGTCTCCTTCCTGGCCTGCCAGCAGCTGGTGAATTCTCTTGACTTTCTCTTTCCTTTCTGAATCTCTGTTAGGGAAAACAGGGGGAAAAAAAGAGGAGAAAAATTGTCGGATGAAAATGAGAAGGCCAGAAGTGGGATTTTAAAAGATACATGGTAAGTATCCACATAATCAAGAGGATTCTCAGGTGATTTGAAAAACAAAAAAGCTTAAGCATTCTGTGGTCATCTGATGATTAGATGTTAAAGAATCGTTTTCATTGTAAATGAGCGAGTTCAGTATTCATGGAGGATACGCTCAACATGACTTTCACTGTAGGCCAATGACCACGATCAACAATACACACACAAGGTCTACCCTAGCAGGGTGGGCTTAAGGGTAAAGCTGCAGTGAATTTTTCTTGGACACAAATTTTGTACTCTTCTACTCTTTTTCTTATCTTTGTTTTCAACTCTGCACTCTTCCCCAATGTATGAAAACTCTTTTCACATTCCCATTTTGTTTAATGCATTGAAAAGTGCAATTGTGAAAAACAAACTTGTGAATGCTTTCCAGGACAACTGAGGGCGCTGTTGCTGTGATGTCATCCAGGGATGACATGGTTCAGTGCACAGGTCTTTCAGTTCAAACTGTGAACCCAGAATTTACATACTTAAAACACTTCTGAGAAAGGGACTGATGCTTGCTTATTGTTATGCATGTAAACAGCACTAAATCAGCAAAAGAGGAGAATATTTTGTACAAGCAAATCTACAAAAATGGAGGACTTTGTTGTGTACAGAGATTGATGCTTTCTTCCTGAGATGACTTGACAGTTTTGCTCACGAATATGGAAATACTCATTAGCATAAAAGCAAAAAGGCAGTAAAATACCTCTGAAATGTAAGACACAAGTTGAAAATGAGACACAAAGATGCATTTTGAACATGTGCATTAAAACGAATTCACTGCAGCTACACTTTAAACCCACTCACAGTCACTAAATCTCGTTTGAAAGGGCAAGATGCAAGGTGTTTTGTTTTCCAAGGACCTTGCCTTGAAATACCGAACTCGTTTATTGTGTCCTTGACGGCCCAAAGAGACAACCCAGCCTTTAAAGCATACAGGTTTAAAGAGGATTAACTTTCTGAGACAAATTTCAGCAAACAGAACAAGATAGAAAACTAGCTTCATTCAGTTGTAATCGATATTCGCTTTAACAAAAGATATCAAGTAATGACACTTATGAAGGCAGACTTAATCTGAAGTGCTTCCCCTTTCACTGGTAACCGGTGAACACCCCTTTACTCCCTAGTGAGGATACAAAATGACAGGACAAGAAGATTCTTCAGGGCAGTTGGGGGATAATGGCAGCATATATCATTCCACAACGAGGACACTGAACTCTGGGTCAAATATTCCCCTGTGTACGTGTATATTGCCATCTGCCGTCTCTGATGTCTAACGGCTTCAGGTTTTGTCACAGAGCCGTTTTACCAAGCAGAATCCTTCTTTTGATTGAACAAGTCACATTTTTCTGCTCTATTGCTGGGCAGGACTTAAAGTGCTCTACCCATGGCAACCAAAGTACAGGCACTACATGTGTAACAATCAGTACTGCTTGCAAATGCATACTGGAGTGCTTCTGGCGTTCGTAACCAAGAACTGGTTCAGTTGTAATTCTTCAGAAATTGTCTTTGGTAATTTAAATTGGGTAAGAATTAACTGTGACGCAGTGATGTAGTCGAGTACTTTTTG